AGGTTGCCATCTTAACTCTTTCTAGAAGGCCTGAGTCACCATTCAGACAAGGATTTGTAGTTTTTGTTTAGTTTCCCAGCATAGATCCAACTAAGGATTTGCATAACATGGTGAACACTGATTTTTGTGAACGTTCTGCGAAATACCCAAAGTATCCTAAAACCCGGAGCTGTAACCAATCAACAGTCTATTGTGGCCTTCAAATCATAACTTACTGTGACTCCTAGGTTATTACGAGTCAGTATTGAGGGTAGGGGAGTACCACCAACATCGTATGTGTTGCCATCTATATGCCCCATGTGCATACTCACACACCTGCGTTGGTAGACGTCAGCCATTTCTCTGACAAGCTATTTAGGTCTGCCTAAAATTCATGTACATCCTCGTCATCCCTAATTTCTCTCTAGGTTTTTGCATGGTCAATGCAGAGGATCATATTAGATTTCGTGATGTCCGGTAGTTGATTTATGTATATTAGAGAGATAACAGGGGACACAGAACTGTGCCTTTCGGCACTCCACTCTCTACTGTAATTCTTGAGCGAATCCTATAATTGTTTCCTTATTTACTTCTAACATACTCAATAATTCATCGACGGAATCAGAAAAAGCTGGGGAAATTCGCTACCTGCAAGAACATTTTCGAAACTTGATGATCAAGCCAATATATTAAATTATATTTATGTAGATATTGTACAATAAGTTATTAAGTAGGAGTTACACTTCTGCACCTGAAATAAAATAGTTCAAACCTTTCATCTGTTACTCTAACCTAAGCTTTTTCACAGAAATAATCAAAAATAATAGTCAGATAAGTAAGGTAAGAGTCATGTATCTTCTCTCCGAATGTCCAATTTATTTTCAATAATGAATCATATGGACAATTATATGGGGTTGTTATGAGCTCCCCTCTGAATCTTATGCTAAGGATATCTTCTTAGCCAAACTTGAAGCTGGTTCACTTAGGAATACACTGTATGCACGTGACACTTTCGTCGTTTAAGACAATCACTATACGACTGTATAGCTTGATAATAAAGTTGTTGAAAAGAAATATTCCTTCTCTGGTATGTGTTCATTTGTTGCTAATCAATAAACAATTTTTTGATGACCTTGTGTTGGTCTTCTGGATATCTGACCTCATAACTTTACTTACAACTTTTGTTGACCTTGTATTGTTGGACTTATATTTCGTTGTAAGCAATTATACAATTACGACTTCACAGCTTCGGAAAATGATTCGTTGAAGAGAAAATTTTCTAAGCTGAATTGTACTTTATTAATTTTCCATTATCAAATAGGACTATTTCCATGATTAATACTATTATATTCTGTATTATTGATATGAAAGAAGAGTTCTGAATGTGTAGGATACAATGAGAATTAGTCACGAAATGATGACTGATGTGGTTCGCATATCTCGTTTGCTGAATGATGATCATAATTTGTCAATAAACTTCACCTGTTGAACTTCATATTTTACCTTCTCCATTCTCTGCATGATTACGTAATCACCTGGCATCTGTAGTAAGTCATTTGAAAACTGTATGACTAGTGAAACTCTACTACACTATTGAGTAGTAAACCATTATATGTTTGTAATAAAAACATATATAAGATTGTACAGCTTCATAAAATGACCATGTAGAGGAGGAGAATGTTCTTATTTGGTTTACCTTATCTTCTCTTTTAAAGTTAACAATGTAGTACAGTGGATTACATTTTGAATATAATGTTTGCGTTGAGATTTATCTACGTCGAAAATAACCATGATGACATCCTAATAATTTGTTTTAGAACTTTAGATACACAGCAGCCTATTCTATAGTTCATTGTTAATTCTAGTAATTCAGTAAGTATGCAGTTTAACATTGAGATGGCCATGGTTTGAAGAACTTGTATTGATATTGGGTGATGATTGAATGAGGTCGCTGGTCCGAATAGCGAGTCGCAAGTCTTTAAAACGATGATTCAAATCCGTTACCTTATGCCAAGCTAATTTCATGTCTCACTTTCAAAGAGACAGACAGATGAAATCAACGTAGTATCTGGCACATATGTGTATTGGGTCAGGTTCCCGCACTTCACAGCAGGATGCAAAGAACAAGTGGATAGAAACAGAGTAATATTCAAGTAGTTATAGTAGTATGAGAGAATAAGTAGTCCGAAAGTAAAGGTTAGTGCGAATATTCAAGCTTTAGATGTCAAGGAGTGAATACATCTGTCATCGAGAGTCCTCAACCACTCAATCCTTTTGTCTCTCGGATCTCAATCAGGCAGTCTACCTTTCTCCACAAGGCTCAAGCTAACAGTCAGGGACTTCATTTACTTGTGCCATATGTTTGTCTGGTTACCCTGAAGCATCTTCTCACCTAATCAAACTTTTCCTAGCATTGCAGGTCGAGGAAGGGGATAGCTGGGCATGTGCAGTTCATGTCTAGGCTATTTCAGTCGACTATGGTTTACCTCACCAATCGACTTGCCTGTCTTGTCTAGTACCCTTCCGTTGACCTCAACGTTGCTCCCACGGTGATCCCACCAAACGCGAATATTTCTAAAAACACACGTATGATCGAAATCCTATAATCACTGCTTTCTAAAAAGAAGCATACAAGTGATTAGTAACTCAAATTCGTGTATTTGAATGACATCACTTACTTCTTAATTGGTCAGTCGACTAAAGGTCTTATGAAAAGAAATCAAAATGAGGCTTGATTTTCTCAAAGCCGAGATGGATATCTTCTTAGCCAAACTTGAAAGTGGTTCACTTAGGAATGCACTGTTTGCACGTGACACTTCCGTCGTTTGAGACAATCACTTTGACAAGGAGGCTTTTCTGAATTTTTCAATAATATTCACCCTGCTGTGTAGTTCACCATGAGGAAGTTCTCCACCTCATCAAGAAGACGAATGAATTTATTATAAGAAGAATATTTTTAGAAAAAAAGGACTGGTCAATATATTCATAGCTTCACACCAATACAGTCCAAATGGAGCCTAGTCAAATGTCTGAGTTACAGAATACGAAATATATGTATCACATGACTGTGTGGAAGAGGATGTGGATAAGCCTAAGATAGCGTTGCATCGAAGTGACTATCCAGTAAACTTCATAATTAAATCAATATATTTCGAGACCTAGAGTGGTGATAAAGAACAGTAGCTTTGCTATAAGACCTTTATACCTGAGACTAATTTTCAAAAGTGACATTTCCTCTGATATCTGAATACGCTAACTGAGTAGACCTATGGAAGAAACTGTCACTTCAGCAAAACTTTTTATTAGCTTTCCAACCAAAACCACTGGTAAAACAGGAAATCAAGGATGGGTTATCAACGATGATCAGTTCAATGTTCCTTTTTATGACTTCAACTGCTTCCATGGAGGTAGTTACATAGGCCTTACTGAAATGGCCTTATTCATTTGCGCTCAGGAAAACGTACCAATGTAGTTAGGGAATGACAAGTGCATAAACAGCTCAATCCTTTCACATTGAGTAGCTAATGAACATGAAATCAACATAGATCAAGCCTTTTCTGTAATATATTGTGTTATTTGCTATCTCTTCAAATGGGCACAAATACACCCTTTGTCTGTATCCGAATCCCAAGGAATCAACATACAAAACCTGATCTGTGTGTTCGAAAGAAATATGTACATTCACTTTGTCTCTCTGTTAACCGACAATAGGGTGAACGCTTTCTCTGTGAACTTTTCTATCATGAATTTCACATTTGAACCTTCCATCGTATCCCATTCTCTGATTTCCTCTCCCTTGTTTCATTGATAAATATTTATTTTCGCATGCTATTATTTTTACATCCTTGTTTATTCACAAAATACTACAGTTCGAGATCCAACTCACAGATATCTTGAAGAAAATAAAGAATAGTGTATTAATTTCCTCTGTTGGATTGCTGAAAATACATGAAGCTATATTACCGCTCCTCTTCTAATCATTGTATCGCCCAGCAGTTAGCTGAAATGTTGGAACCAGTTAGAAGGTAAGTGTCCTGTTATTCCATAAGCGACAAATTTCAGTTTGTTGATATCATTAAGGATGTTGACATAGCTGATGAAGTCTTGTTGGTTTAGATGTTACCTCATTGTTCATAAGTGTACCACTCACTGAAGCTGCCTGTTACAAATGAGATTACATTGCGTCTCTTAAGACAGAAGTGGGAATTTTAACAAACTACCTGACAGAGTTATTAATGAAACATATTATTAGTGTCCAGTTTGACTTAACTAGTAAGATAAGCAGATAAAATGATAGGGTTGCAATGGAATCCCCATTGGTACGTCTAATGGCAGATTGTTTTACACCAAAACTGGAGAATTTTAATCTTAGCCAAACTATTGATTTCTTTTAATATCTACAAAACATAAGTGGATTACGTATTTGTCATTTCTGATGTGGATTTCATTTCGATGACATCCTACACGCGTTCAGAAATTGTCATTCAGAGTTGAAGTTCATTCTGGAGAAGGAACCGAAATCATACTAGATTTGTTTATTTGATACAGTATTATTTACTTGACATCAGCAACTCTTTCTAAAAAGACTTAGTCCATGAATTTGGAATTTAAAGGCGATGTAGCAGTGATATTCTGGAAAATCATCTTCTGACATCATTTAGAAGGATATTTTTCACAGGTAAACTTCAACTGACCTTTACTGACCGTAAGTTGTTCTCTTTATCCGTAAAAGATAATATCACTCGACAGGCTACCACCAGTTCACCTACTCCTATGGAGCAGGGGACATTAGCCGTAACCAGACATTGTTGTGAACACTCATATGAGAATATATTCCACCTCAGTTTTATAAAGGCAAGAGAAAATGCATTAAAATTTCTTTCCAAGGAATTTGGAACCAAAGCGAATAATCGACTTCTCAATAATAAGCCAAACGTTCGAGTTAAGCGTAAAATTCAAAACATAGGATTTATCTCAAATACAGTTCTATATTCGTAAGAAATACTAAGCAATAAAATACAGACCTCGAATCTTGGGACATATTAGGGTTTATCGCTATCAAATAGCTTTGCAAAGAGTGTGTAAACAGTGAAAACAGCAAAGCTGTGTCCAAGCTATCAGAAGGGAATATAAAGGACAAGCGTAAGTTCTCACGATGAGGTAAAGAAGTAAGATAAACAAATGTCCAAGATAAAATAGAACATCAGAGAACAACAAAAGAAACTACAACACCATCATGGACTATGAAATATACTAATATCTATGCATGTTAAATGGTGGACAAGATACCATTGAACAGAATGAACAGTCAATGATGTAAATGTAGCAACATTATAATAAAACATGACTATACTACTCAAAAATACCAAGTAGTATGAAACTGAAGATACAAAAGGCGTAAGCGAGAACAAGTGAAAAGAAATAAACGTTAGGTATAAAAAATTGCTAAGTTTTCTTTCTACTGGTTTTAAACCGTCCACCGCTAAACTATCAGTTTTATCCTCCTTATCGGACAAACTATGTAACCTGTGAAAGTACTTTTACACTGAAGTGTGAAGAGATATACACTACTTAGATTTTAAAGGAATTTTTTTCAACTTTAATTGTAAGTGGTATATTTTTTCTTTGAGAAAAATGACTAAACGTAGTGTCAGTAGTGTATTCTCCTACTTCCTTGAGAATTTAACCGATGAAATGGTTTCTGTCAGAGTTGGAGCAGGTTTCCAGTCATCCAGATCAGATATTTCTTTACGTATAGACGCTAAGACTTTGTTTGCCTCAGTCTCTGTTGATTTTATCCTTAAGCAATAGAATGGATTACAATAAAAGATTCAGAATAACAGCGGGAAATTAAAATCACGAATAAATAACAATAACTGATACCCATCGCACAGGAGGTGGCTCTTGTGCCTAGTAGCCTAGTAGGTAACTCTTTGGCGTTTGAAGTGACGGGCGCTGGGTCGGATTCCCAGTGGTAATAACACCACTCACTTGGATGCCGGTATATCCGGCCGACAAATCCCAACTGGGATGAAACTCGTGTCCTGGATTTCACTGGTAGCCACTACCAAGTAGCTTACAATACAGGAAACTTTGTTTTCGAGCGATAAATCCATTTTAACTCAGTGGTATAGTTAAGAGAATAAACGTAAGAATAATAATTTAAAACTTGGTAGATGAATATATTGAAGAACTTCTAACAGGGGCTATTATAGTGGCACAATTAATGAGAATCTCAAACCAAGATGTGTACTACCACTGTTTATGCATGATCATTCTTAGATGAGATATGCTCTTTAAATCTTTGATATCAATGAGAAATTCATGCTGGGTGATGATTGAAGGTGAAATGGAAATTCTGACCGCTGTCGGATTCACACCAGTAGCCACCGGGTTCCCCGCCTGATGCTCTACCAACTGAGTTACGAGGTCCTATTACTGGCCAGACCTTTATTTCACTTCAGTCACCATGGGTTTTACCAGACTACCATCGGAATTCGTGACGCGTTACTACCGCTTGATAGTATTCAGTCATCACCCAGTATTAATACTAGTCTGCCAAACTATGGCTATCTCAAATAATCAATATTATGCTCCCCCTCTCCAATTCAGTTAGATTTGGATTGGCATGAAAAGTCCTGACCTGACAGCCAGTATAAATAAGATCAAGTTGTAGTAGCGCGTCACAAATTCACATGGCAGTCGGGCAAAACCCATGGTAATTAAAGTGAAATATAAAAATCTAGCCAGTAATCGGACCTCGTAGTTCAGTTGATAGAACATCGGGTCGGAAACCCAGTTGTCTCTGGTTCGAATCCGACCACCCAGTATAAAGTATTAGTCTGCCAAACTACGGCTATCACAGGTAGATGATAATAAAAAATGTATCATGTCATGAGCTGGTTGTCTGGTTAATCGAAAAATTGAAATTCATTCGACTAACGGTTTTGAAGATCCATTCCAATTGTTCTGTGGACGATAATATCTCCCGATTCTTTAAAAAAACTTCCATTTGAATGAAAAAATAATATTCTTTTCCATAACTCCTTCTTCAGGTCCTACAGCAATAAAATTTACATTTGAGAAAATGTCTGAAGGTAAAATGATTTTCCTTGATGCTTTTTTTAAGATGAATGGTTGTATCGATAAAGAGAAAGTTGCTAAGGATAGGTACATGAATGAGACTATACACACACTTTTTTACTCTAATCCTCCTTCAGTACTAACAAAATTTGATAAAGACTATAGGTTACAAACTAAAGGCTATTTGTTCAGAAGATATAATTGAGGAGGAACTGGCAACTTGACACGCAATACTAATCCAAAATGGTTATCTTGATAAATTCATGAAGAAACATAGAATTATAAAGACAGCAGTAAAAGACATTCCAACGGATTACAGAAAACCCCTATACATTCGGTTAAAATTTACAGGTGACGTGTCTAGCAAGATATTAATCTATAAAATAGGCCTATCAATTCATAGAACTAAATATATTTTTCACTCCCCCAATGGTAATACCGAGACTGAAAAGTGAATTACCTAGACTGGTCACTTCTTGTTATGTTAATCAGTTAGACTACTCCTATACATCCACTTACTTTGATTACTGCTCTAGGAACTTCATTTTCCATGCTCAAGGGTTATTAAGCAACGGTATGATCCACAATGAAAAGCTCAGTGACACCTTTGAAGTGAAGACAGAAGACAGGAGTAAGACAAGGCTCCTACTATCACTCATGATCTCCCTGATTGTGGCGGACTGGATCATGCAGCAAACAGTAAGAAGAGAGAAGATGGGCATACGCTGACTGGATTGATATAAAGACCACAGAAGAAGATTTAGATTTTGCCAACGATGATGATTTATGTCCAATGTCTTGTTGCACAAACTCGAAGATCTACAGGAGAAAACTAACAAGTTGGCAGAAGAGGCAAGGCAGGGCAGCGAAGGAAGATGGAAATTCAAGTGAATGTAGAGAAGACAGAGACAGAGGTGATGAAGATACTCAACCGACAACAGCATCAAAAACAAGAGGCACCAATCACCATCAGTGGGAGAAACCTAAATGAACTTGTCTCTTTCACCTACACCAACCTAGGCAGGCAGCATCGTTCCAACTACAGATGGCGGGGCACAGACGAGAATGTGAAAACCAGGATCGGAAAAGCCAGACAGACTTTACCTAATCTGAAATCAGTGTGGAGATCTTCTGCACTCAGGATAAAGAACAACATCCGGATTCTCAACACTAATTCAGTCAAGTAAGTCAGTGCTTCTATGTGGTTCAGAAACTTGGCGTGTCACGAAAAGCACATCCAACAAACTAGAGATGTTCATCAACAGTTGTTGCCTACGCTGACTATATACTGAAGATCAGATGGCCAGAAACAATAAGCAACAAGGAACTCTGGCTGGCTGACAACGAACCAACGAGACAAGAACCTGTTATCCAACAAATATGCAGAAGAAAGTGGAGATGAACTGGGTAAACACTGAGAAAGCCGAGTGGGGACATCACGTGCCAGGCCACGCCGTCGAGTGGAACCGAAAAGGGAAACGACGAGTCGGGTGTCCGAGGTGAGGGTGACATGGAGGATATCATGTGAGGAAGAAATGAAAGCTTATGAGCAGTGGTGGAGCCAGGTTGAAAAGACTGTAAAGAAGAGAGTGGAATGGAGGCATGCTACTGAAGCCCTATGTTCCACTGGGAACCCAAGGGAAAAATAAATAAATAAATAAACCATTCAGGTGATATGAATAAGTCATTTTTAATTATTTACCTTCTGTCTATCAATTTGCCAAAAGGTAGTCGGTTTCAATTCCTTTTGACGGTAAAATCAATCGGGATCAGAAAAAATACGTGCTGCCGTTTTAACTACGTTGACCCTTGTTGAGATGCATAAATTCCTTAGCACACTACTCCATGTAATCTAATTCTTGACCTCTTTACTTCACATATCTCTTCATCCGTATTATTATTATTATTATTATTATTATTATTATTATTATTATTATTATTATTATTATTAGTCCCCTGGGTTCCTAGTGGAACATAGGTCTTCAGTAGCACGCCTCCAGTGACCTCTGTTCTCTGAGATCTTTTGAACCTGGTCCCACGACAGCCCAGAAGCTCTCATTTCCTCCTCACACGATCTCCTCCATGTCACCCTCAACTCGGACACCCAACTCGTCGCTTCCCATGGGGGTTCCACTCGAACAACTGGCCTGACGCGTGATGTCCCCAGTCGGCCTTCTCAGTGCATGCCCAATCCATCTCCATTCTTCCTGCATATTTGTTGGGTGATAGGTTCTTGGTTGGTTCGTTCCCAGAGTTCCTTGTTGCTTATTCTTATTATTCTGGCAATCCATCTGAGCTTCAGTAACGAGCCAGCGTAAGCAGTTGTTGATGAATGTCTGCAGTTTATTGGAAATCCCTTTCGTGACGCGCCAAGTCTCTGAGCCATACAAGAGCACTGACTTGACGTTGGTGTTGAAAATCCGGATCTGGTTCCACATGCTGAGTGCAGAAGATCTCCACACTGGTTTCAGGCTAATGAACGCCTGTCTTGCTTTTCCGATTCTGACTTTGACATCCTCGTCTGTCCCGCCTGTAGTTGAAACAGTGCCTCCTAGGCGGGTGAAGGAGGCTACTTCCTTTAAGTTTCTCCCGTTGACGGTGATTGGAGTTTGTTGTTGTTGTTGATGGTGGTGATGCGGTATCTTCATCACCTCTGTCTTCTCTATATTCACCTGAAGTCCCGTCTTAGCTGCCTCTTCTGTCAACTTGTTAGTTTCTGCCTGCAGATCTTCAAGTTTATGTGACATTAGGCACAAGTCATCCGGCAGCGAAATCCAAGTCTTCTAGGTTCTTTTCCGCAGTCCAGCGTATCCCCCTCTTCTCGCTGCCTACTGTTTGCTGCATGATCCAGTCCACCACAATAAGGAATATCATGGGGGATAGTAGGCAACCTTGTTTCACTCCTGTCTTCACTTCGCTGCAAAGGCATCACTGAGCTTCCCATTGTGAATTACTTGGCTGGCATGTGGCATCTTCATATAGTTGTTGAATGAGGCGGATAAAGGTTTGCGGTACTCCGTAGTAGTGAAGCAGTTTCCAAATTACTTCTCGGTCGACGCTGTCAAAGGCCTTCTCAAAGTCGATGAAGTTGAGGCAGAGAGCTGATTGCCATTCTATGCTCTGTTCTATGATGATGCGAAGCGTTGCAATTTGGTCTGCACATGATTTGTACTTCCTGAAGCCTGCCTGTTCCGGTCGCAGTTTTGAATCCAGTGCATCTTTAAGCCTCTCCAAGATGATGTGGCTTAATATTTTACTTGGGGTGGACAGGAGAGTGATTCCGCGCCAGTTCTTGCAAACACTGAGGTCGCCCTTCTTCAGCAGTTTGACAAGGTAACCCTTCTTCCAATCGTCAGGTACCTTCTCTTCCTTCCACACCTTCTGCAATAGTGGTGTGAGCATGTCCGCTGTTGTCTCTGAGTCTGTTCTCAGTGCTTCTGGCGGTATTCCATCTGGTCCTGCTGCTTTCCCGCATTTCAGTAGCTTTATGGCGTTCAGGACTTCCATTTTCGTTGGGGGGTTAATGTTCACTTGTAATTCAGCGGCTGGGCTGCAGGTGGTATTTCTGGACGAAGTGCAGGTGGTTGTCGATTCAAGAGCTTCTTGAAGTGGTCGGCCCATCGTTTCCTCTGTTTCTCTTCTTTTGTAATTAAATTTCCTTCTTCATCTTTTATTGGTTTCATCTGTGTTGGTCTCTTCCCTGATAGCAACCTGGT